GCCTCCCAAAGGCGCGGGATTACAGGCTGAGCCACCAAGCCCAGCTATGGCTCACACTTACAATCCCTGCACCTTGGAAGGCTGAGGTAGGATTGCTTGAGGCCAGGAGTTAGAAACCAGCCAGGACAACATAGCAAGACCTCATCTCTACAAAAATCAAAAAATTTTGCCAGGCATAGCAGTGGCGGCCTGTAGTCCTAGCTACTCGGGCGGCTGAGGTGGAAGGAGTTCTTGAGTCCAGAAGGTCAAGGCTGCAGTGGCCATGAGCGTGCCATTGTACTCCAGTCTGGGTGGCAGAGTGAGTCTCCCTACTCAAAAAGAAAAGCTTTTAAGGCCAGGTGTGGTGTGCTCAACACTCTGGGGGGCTGAGGCGGAAAGATTGCCTGAGCCCAAGAGTTCAAGACCAATGTGGGCAACATAGCAAAACCCCGACTTTACACAAAATTTTAAAAAATTAGCCACACATAGTGGGGTGCACCTGTAGTCCAGCTACTCGGGAGGCTGTGGTGGAAGGGTCGCCTGAGCCGAGGTCCAGGCTCGGTGAACCATGTCATGCCACTGCTCTCCATCCTGGGTAATAGCTTGACTCAAAAAAAAAAAAAGTTAAAAAAACCGTGGTGGCCAGGTGCGGTGCCTCAAACCTATAATCCCAGCACTTTGGGAGGCCAAAGTGAGAAGGTTGCCTGAGCTCAGGGGTTTGAGACCAGCCTGGGGAACTTGGCAAGCCCTCATCTCTACAATAAATCAAAAAATAAGCCAAGCAGGGTAGCGTGCACCTGTAGTTCCAGCTACTCGGAAGGCTGAGGCGGAAGGATCGCCAGAGCCCGGCAGGTCGAGGCTGCGGTGGCTGTGAGCGTGCCATTGCACTCCAGCCTGGGCAACCGTGAAATGTACTCAAAACAACATGGCAAAGAAGCCCTTCCTTACTCTCGTAAGAGAAAACAGTTTCAGTAACCAGGAGCTGCAGGGGCACCATGAATGGAGCACTTGCCAGGAAGGCTGGCCCACCCCTTAGCTCTCCAGGCCCAGATGGAAAACGTGGGCATAGAGTTAGGGACTAGAATTGTGTGACGCTGTGACTGGCTATCCTAAAACTCATCTGTCACCCAAGGGCTTGGGTGCTGAGACATCTCAAGCTACACACCGAGTTCCCAGACGAGGCCACACACCACACAAGAAATATTGCACATCACTCCTTTATTATACTGATCTGCAAAGACATAGTACAGTTATGCTCAGAATGAACACGGCCCGAGGCGGGGCAAGCAACTAGCACATGATTCAGAAGCCAGTCGGTGACAGACACACCTGGACGTGATGAGGCCTCTCGCCGGCCGAGGAGGGACTGGACACACAGCGGACAGTTTGACCCCTCAGGGCCAAGGAGCTGGACCCGTGTTGGTGCAAGGAATGGCTTGTTCTGGGCGCCACTAGAAGCCCCAGAAGGGTTTTGTTTTGTACTATTTATACTTATTTTCTGTAAAAGTAAATGCAACACATAGACCTGCTTCAGGATTGATCCCAACCTTCTAGGGCCAGGGAGGAAAGGGTTGCTTCTGAACCGCTGTGCAGGTGACACTCTTCTGCACTGGAATGCCTGCAGCCCCAGCCGGTGCCCTGAGAGAGGACAGGCCTGGCTCCTGGGGGCAGAGGCTCTCTCTCCTCACTGGCCCTGCCTCGGCATGGCTCCTCCCTCTCCCCGACTCAAGCGGGTCCCCAGAAGACAGGGGCTGCCGTGCATGCGTGGCCAGGAGGAGCTTCCCTCGGCCAGGACCGAGAGGCGGGCCCGGAGGTGCGGTTCCAACTAGACCGTTTGAAGGGAGTGGGTGCAGGAGGCCAACGGCTAACGGGACAGTGGGAGCCACCGGTTCCATCTGCAGCTACAGCTCAGGACCCAACAGACGTGGTCGTGGGGGGGGGAGAGGGGAGGGAGATGTCAGGGTGGTCGTCGCCCGCGGGCCCTCACTTCTTGACCTTGCCCTGGGCAGCCACGGCTTCCATGGCTTTGCGCACGGTCTCCTCGTCCCCCAGGAACTGCATGGGCTTGATGGGCTTCAGGTTCTTGTCCAACTCGTAGACGATGGGGATCCCGGTCGGCAGGTTCAGCTCCATGATCGCCTCTTCAGAGAGACCTGAAAACACCCGCCACGTCAGCCGCAGAGACATGCGCCCACACCGCCCCTCCAGACACTCTTCTGATCTTTCTAACAGCAGTTCTGAACCAAGGAACGGCCCCCAGTGCTTGTTTCCAACATGAAGCCAAAAGCAAGGAAGGTGCACAAGATTCTCAGAGGGCCGCCAGCAAACCGCAGAAAGGGGGCCCCGCAGCCCCCCGTCCCAAGGGGGACCTGAGATCCCCAAGCAGCAGGACCGCGCATCAAGCACACACAGCCCGTCCAGCTCCCAGAAAGCAGCACGAGCCGGGCCCCTAGGCACTGGGGAAGCAGTGTAAGTAAGTTGCAAGTGAGAGCCGAGTGTGAATCGTGCCAGGTGTGACCAGGCAAGATTACTATCAGCAGTTTCAACAGGTATCTGAACCATGTGGGGGGACAGGACCAAGTCCCCGCCGGAGTGGGCCGGGCGGTTCTGTCTCTGACAGGCTCCCGGGTCCAGCAGTCACTGGTCTGCACCCCAGGTTTTCCCACCAGCAGGCCGTCCAGCCCGCCTCTAGGGCTCTCAGGGCACTCGGCCCCTGCCAAGCCTCTTCTGCACTGGATCCGCCCCCGCCAGGGGCTCTCCGCCTCACCCCTGGAGCCCCCAGAGCCGCACATACCTTCCAGGTGCTTGACGATGCCCCGGAGGCTGTTGCCGTGGGCCGCGATCAGCACCCGCTTGCCCTCCTTGATCTGGGGAACGATCTCCTCGTTCCAAAAGGGCAGCGCCCTGGCAATGGTGTCCTTCAGACTCTCACAGGAGGGCAGCTGGTCTTCAGTGAGGTCCGCGTACCTGCGGTCCTAAACAGCAAGACCAGGGTCACCACGCACGAGCAGGCATGCCTGTCACAGGACCGTGAAGGGTATGGACTCCGCCCAGGCACCTCCCAGAGGATTAAGGCTTTGGGAGAGGCTGAGGCTCTCGCGGGGTCCAGATGCAGCTGCGAGCCTGAGACAGGTGCTCCTCCTGCCCCTCCCCCCAGCACCCACTGCCGGCAAGACTCAGTCAAAAGAGGCAGAGAAGAAAAATCGTAAGACGAGGCCCTTCCCGGCTCTCTGTTGTGAGTCGCAGTCTCACTCTGTTCCCCAGGGGAGTGCAGTGGCATGCTCACGGCCACCTCAGTCTCAACCCGCTGGGCTCCGGCGATCCTTCCGCCTCAGCCTTCCGAGTAGTTGGAACTACAGACACACGCCACTGTGCCCAGCTAGTTTTTGTGATTGTAGATACGCGGTTTCACCAGGTTGCCCAGGCTGGTCTCCAACCCCTGAGCTCAGGTAATCCTCTCACCTCCACCTTCCGTGCTGGGGTTACAGGCATGAGCCACCACACCCATCTTCCAACTCAGGTCAACCTGCAGTTGGTCTGGGGGTTTTAAGCTTGGGTTTTATAAAACATGGCAATGGGCCAGGCATGGTGGCTCATGCGTGTAGCCTCAGCACTTTCAGAGACTGAGGTGGAAGGGTCGCTTGCATCTAGGGACCAGTCTGGGCAACATAGCAAGACCTCATCTCTACAAAAAAATTAAAAACTTAGCTAGGCACGGCAACACGTGGCTGTAGCCCAAGCTACAGAGAGCGGAGGCAGGAGGATTGCCTGAGCCCGGGAAGTCAAGGCTGCAGTGAGTCATGACTGTGTCTGGGTGACAGAGGAGACCTCAACTCAATCAATAAGGTGCTGGAGACATAAAAAAGGAGAGAATTCTTAGATAAACAAGAGCCATCACCTGACTCTCCTACCAAGGGAAAGGCACCCTGGAGAATGGAGGGTCCCAGTGACCTACTGGGTCCTGTGTCCCAGGCCCCGTGAGCCCAGACACTAGCAGACGCCGGAGGGGCGCACCTTGCTGATGTTGCCGTAGAAGGGGTGGTCGGGCTCCATGGGCGGCGGCGGCACGTCGTAGGAACGCCTCCAGATCTTCACCTGCGCCTCCCCGTGCTTGGCGGCGGTCTCGGCCTTGTTGAGGCCCGTCAGCCCCCCGTAGTGGCGCTCATTGAGGCGCCACGTCCTCACGACGGGCAGCCACATCTGGTCGATGGCGTCCAGCACCGTCCAGAGCGTGCGGATGGCTCGCTTCTGCACGGAGGTGAAGCAGATGTCGAACTCATAGCCAGCATCTGCGGGCGAGGGGTGGGCATGAGACGGGGTCCAGCCGCCAGGCCCACCGGGCCAGGGCCTCACGCGTGCCCTCCCGACCGTGTCCACAGGGAAACGCAGGCCCAAGACTGTATCGTGCATGTCCTTGCGGGAAAGAGACGAGCTCGCCTTCAGGGGAGACGACGTTTGCTGACTTCGGTCACAGAGACAATATCCTCCCAGCAGGTCCCAGCAAGTCCTCCCACCAGGGCCTGGGTGCGCTGTCAGCCTGCCAACCCGAGCCCAGACTCCCGCGCTGAGGCACCCTTCAGACATTGATTTCTGCCCCGCTTCTTTAGAGAATAGGATCCTAAAACTCAGACTCTCTCCCTCAATGACAACAGCCGCCACTCACAAAGGGCTTAGCATCCGTCAGGCCTGGACTGAGGCTTCATGACAAGCCCATGAGGGTATAATCCTCACAATGCATTCTAACAGACGAGGGAAATCGAGACCAGGCGCGATAAGCCAACCATCCAGGGCCGCAGCAATTGTGCGTGAGATAAAAGTCCCGCTGGGACTCCAAAATCACACCTGAACCCCATCTCCAGAGAGCCCCATTTTCCTAACTCCCAAGGACCCTGGTGTTCTCATCTCGGTTGGAGTTGTCACTTCTGATGTTTAGTGGCCCTCTGGTGCTATAGATATCTGACAGATCGTTCCCAGACCTCTGGTCTCGGGAAAATGGGATTCTGAAGTCTCAACAGTCAGGACACAGCGAGCGCCCTCGAGGATGTGGCCAGATCTCCGGCTGGTTACTGCATGTTCGCCATGGCGTGTGGAAATCCCATCACGAGCTCTTAACTCAGGGTTTCCCTCTGCTGCAGTCAGGGTACCAGCCTCCTCCCAAGCACCCCTGGGAACACACCTGCTTCAGTGGTAAGCCAAGTTCAGGAGACGCCAGACGCTAAACAGCAAACACTATGCCGTCTCCTCCCTCACAAAAGAACACGGGCCTCACCAACAGTGCACAGGGCATCGTCTGACTTCACATTTCATGGAGGATTACTCTCCCGCCCGCCACACTGGGGAGAGGGCCCCTATCCATATGCAGTTGGCTAGGAAAGCACTGCTTTCCTGCACAACGCTACAAGGCTCTCTTCCAAATTCAGCACAAGCTTTCCCGGGTATTGCTTCACACTGAGGCTGGTAGGAGTGATTAATAAAATGTGAAGTGCGTTTTCCTGCCAGCCACTCCACTGAGAACGAGGCCAAGAGACCCACACCCACAGGGACGGGAGGCTTCATTGCCAGGGAAACCCACACCACCCACAGAGACCAGCCCGGTCTCATCACAGCACTGTGGAGCAAGCCCCGGGAGCCTCCGTCACCATCACCGTCACCGCCACCTCCCTAGCCATGAGGGGAGGACTGGCTCCCGGCAGAAGGGTGACTCCCTGGGAAGCAGGTGATGTCCCAACACTCTGGATACACGAGCACTCGGGGACAGCAGCCCAGATCGCTAACAGAGGCCTCCAGCCCCCAGGACACAGAGCCTTTAACTGGCTCATCACAGGAGGCCTAGAGCTTGGTGTGAACCCTGCCCCCAGGCCGGCCCCTTTCTCAGCAAGGAAGCTGAAGCTGCATGGAGAACAGGTCTCTCCAGCTTCTCCCCCCACACTCCCCTACCCCCCACAAGCCCTACTACTGCTTAAAGCACTGGCGAGTGTTGTGTATTTTTAGATGTTTATACTGTTAGATTACTCATCATGGGGCCTCGTCTGTCTTTCATTCTTGCACGCAAGCATCTGTGATGTCCTTAGTAGATATCAAAATGTTTGCTCTGATTACTTTAAAACGTAACGCTACCAGCATTTACAGTAGAACTGAAATGGGTCTGTGTTTTAGAGGCTCCAAGCTTCTCCATTTTGCTGTATCCTGCGGTGGTCATCAGCAAACGGCCACAGACTCTCGCTTCTTCCCGCCAGAGCTCAAGAAAATGGCCTCCTGACCAGCCTCTCCTAAAAGGGGAGGTCCACGAGGCCATTCCAGAGCGCCCCCGCCCCCCACCCTCCCGTGCCATTCCCAGCCTTTCCCAAGCTCGGCTTCTTCTGGAAAGGATGGACGGGCTGGTCGGACGGTAGTGGGCTCTCAGAGCTCAGTGACATCAGGGTCCCGCCCCCCAGGCGTCGAGGACCCTTTGGAATGGCTGCTGCCGGGCGGAGGTTCGGAGGAAGCAGGGCGCGGGGTGCCCGCGTCTGCGTGGAAGCGGACGCGCCTCTTCCCTCGGGCGCCGTCCCATCCGCCTTCCACAGTCGCAGAGCTCAGTCCGGGCAGGGGCCAGCCCGGACGGGCGGGCTACCTCCCGCCGCTTCCGCCTGTGCCCTGGCCTTGGCAGCGGCCCACGCGGCTCCTCCCACCTGCCCGCTAACCCACCCAGGACTGGGGCAAGGACACGGGTCGCGGGAGGAGACATGACCTGGGACGAGTCATCTTCCCAAGTCCTCTCTCTTCCAACTGCCACGGGGGCCCCGGAAGGCATGGGAAGGAGGGGGATAAGCACCTCTCTACTCCAGGGGCGGCACAGAGGCTCGACTCGGAGCCCTCGTTCATTCGCTCGCTCATTCGTTCACTCGGCTACCTCTGGGGCGCGTTGGGGGCACAGCCTTTGCGGAACGCTGCTGCGCGGCGAAG